TACGTGACTGCTGAATGCTTTAAAGAGTCCAATCCTATGACAAGCTGAACCTCATTAAATGAGGGTTCAGACGAAGGCACTCCAACATGGAGCACCTTCATTGACTTGTGTCAGCACACACCAGGAGCAGAGCCAGGCTGACGCAGCCCAGTCCTGATCCTGGCACTGTTTTCAGAATGGGGGTGGAGGAAGGGAGTGGAGAGAGCTCATTCTGGGGGTTGTCTGCTTGGTGCTGGAGGGTGGGGTAGGTGGAGTGGGGCAGGGGCTCCAAATGACCTGGCTCCACTGTCCAGCACTAGCTGGGCAGTGCCCAGAATAAGTTCCATCCACTCCCTTTCCCCCTTCCCATTCTGAAAACATTATCGGGGCTGGGAGGGGAGAGGGGTGGGTTAGGGGTAGTGGCTGGAGACTCACAGTTGCTCTACACTGCCGCTCAATCCCCCAACCCCCTGGACCCAACAGTGAACATCTGCTGGGTCCAAGGGATTGCTGTAACTCATGGCACTTCCTGAGAAGCACCATGAGTTACAGCAGGGAGCTGTACTTCTGTCTGTGCCCCTTGGTGGCAGGTAAGAATTACAGCTGAGGAAAATGAGGCAAAGCCATGGTAGAGCACAGAAATGATGTAGGACTCCTGGCTCCCTTTTCTATGCCTTACCCCATGACAATATTTTCTTCCTATACCTTTCTGAACTTAAAATCTTCACACTATAAGTGAATTTCCTTTGGTTTGAGTCTGTATTCCTAGTTTTTTGTTTCCCCTAGAAAGTCACATCTGAGAATAATAAGGTAGTATTCTTGGTATTCTGTGGACACATATGCACTTAGCTAATTGCTTTCTGGTACTCCCTGTACATTGGGACAACACAACCTTGTTTCTCGATGTCTCTCTTCCACCACAGGACCTTTATATCAACAGCTTCTGCAGTGTTATGTCTCGTGTAAAACAAAAATTACTTCCTAACATCCGCCCAACAGTTATTTTTTTCTGTTTCCTCCCATGTACCATGCTGCCACCTGTTTTAACATTTATGCATGTGCAATTTTAAATTATTAAAAAAAATAACATGGAACATAGCCACAGTGTAAATTCCAGAGACAAAAGACATATGTAATTCAGAGTGTTTTTTTATAAATAACTAGGTCAGGTAAAAAAAAAAAATTAAAATCAATGGCAAAGTAAAATATTCTCTTATGAGAGTAGGTGCTGCTCTCATAAGAGAGCAGTTGTAAAATAGCTTAAGTTGTAAGAATTGAAGTTGTAAAATAGCTTCCACTATAACCTGTGGTTTTTTCATTGCTATTTGGGAAACACTTAAAAGTTCCCAAGTTCCTATTATAACAACCATTTTAACTATAATTTGAATATATTTAAATAAGTCTGTTTTCTTGGAATGGGATACAACATGATAGGCTGCTGCTTCTGGGACAGCTTACATTAGGAAGGCAGCAAAAAGGTCTCAATAAAAGACATGAAACATTTCCTTAACAGTACAGACAAGAGAACACTAAAGCCCTGAAAAAAATGGAACTAGCAATTTGAGTCTGCTGATTTGTCTCTACCTAGTTTACTCTGGGTGCATCTACCCATGCACATTACTGTAGAGATGACTAATTAGTTCTACAGTAAAGTGCACTGTTTAAACATGCACCCATATTAGGGTGCAGGTACAGTAAATTAATTAACTGTGCTGTAGTATAGTACTGTCCAGAACAAGTACTATTCTACAGCGGAGTAGTTATACGTGCCGAAATGCACAATTAGATGCTGACCAGGGCTAGCTGGGGCATGAGGGTGCTATAGTGTGGTGGCTAGCCCCACATTGTAGTACCCTCATGGCCTAGTCAGCCCCTCCACAACACACTAAGCCATGGTGAAGCAGTCCTGGGTTGGCAGGTTGACCCTTTGGTCCCCTGCCAGTCAGAGCTGTTCCACACCCAGCTCAACATGCTGTGGTCCCAGGAGTGTGTGTAAACTCTGGTGTGAATTGTGCTGGAGTTTATTGCTATGTGCTAATTGTACATGTAGGTGCACTCTGAGTTTTAAACTGTCCCAATCACTTTGGAATTTGAAGGCAAGATTCGAAATAGGACTTGGGCAGAAAACATATAACTTTGGTGGAACTTTAAGTGCCCAAGTACAAGACAGCAATCCACAAAACCTGCAACTAGACATTTGAAATCTTGAGAGGCCCTGGTTGCCTAAAGTTCTTCTATGGCACATGAGTGGAATCACTGTTGCCTAGGCTGAGCTAAGCATCCTGGTACCCACTTTAAACCTAAGACTGTTTGGGATTTACAAACAAGGTATCATACAATGTCTAACATATGCCAACAGCATTCAGTGCATACAAAACATAGTATCTGAGGAGAAGGGTATGGTGGTGGACATCCACCTTTTGCATAATATTGTAGAAATTAGAGAACTGGGCCATGATGTGGGAGATTGCTGTTATTGGCCCCCCTCAGCCCAGGAGAGTGCCTTACCTGTCAAGTTAATTTCTTAAAGTGAGGATGAGAACTCTCCCCATCCTTCTTTTTGAAACAAAAGGGAACTCCTGCACCTTGGTTCCTGATTCCAGCAGCCAGTTGTGCATTTTGCATTGAAAAGTCATTAGAGAAAATGCCATAAACAGTACTGGGTACAGGAATCAGAACCCAGGAATCTCCCCTCCCAAGAGAGTGCTCTCATCACCAGGCTAGAGTTTTGCAAAGTTGGCAGTCTTGCAGTTTTGGTTCATCCAACAATTTTCTGAAAATGTGAAAATATTTCAGGTTTTTTCAAAAGAAGGATTAGAGATTAGAGAACCCAAGTGAGTGATGATCCATTTAAACCAAGCTATGGCAATTGGCCTCTATACAAAGAACAGCAACAGCAGGAGCAAGATCTCCCTCATCCAAATAGGATTTTAGACATAAGACATAAATTGAACTACTACCTTTATGAAAATTCACAGCTTTACCCCCCTTATTAAAAAAGTAATCATGGAAACCCTAAAGCCAGGTAAAAAATTACAATTAAAAAAAAATCAAACTCAATTAAAAGAAAGCCTTAAAGTCTTAAAATTAGAATTAATTTGACTGTGCTTTACATAACAGGCCAGATCATTAGCTTGTGTAAATTGATGCACCTCTTCACATGTTACCAGGGTTCTGCTGATTTACAGCAACTGACTTGCTGGCATGCTATTTCTTTTACCAGCCTCCTATTTACGTGTGTTGCATATGTTATTGCTTTATATCTACTACAGTATGTCACAGAATTTATGTGCAATATGATTGAGATAATATTGCTCTTGGAGTCATGACTTTTGGTGATTTTAACTGCGCAAACTTAAGACTGCATTGATCTATACTGCTATTTTGGTCACTGCAGACTATTCCTTGACGTGTAACAACCACAAAGGAAATAAGGAGAAATGATGGCACTGTAACTTCCTTTAGCTTCCCAGCTCATTTCCCTTTAATGCATGTCTAAATAAATAGAAGCCCTTTTTATGGGAGAGAAGTTATGAGCCAAATTCCACCCTCAAATAGACACATAACTCACATAAATGCCAAAAGAAGGCTGGATTGTGTGATGGAAAAACCCAAGAACCAGGAATATCAAGTCTCTCATCCACACCATTGCATCCTTCCACCCCTCTGAAAAGACAATGCATGTTCAGAATGTCAGAGATTGAATACATGGGATTGCACCAATATCATCTTTAACTTTAGACTGCCTCCTTTCTGCTGGCCTATTAGCCCTATCTCTATTCATTTTTGTTCTAAATTTTTTAAAGGTTATTAAAAGATGCATTTTTGGTGTAAAACAGTATGTACCTCAGGGCCCGTGTAAAAGTAAGTAACACTACATATCTTTGAGAGGGTAAGAGCTTCAGTTAGGAAGAGCTAAAACAAATGTATGACAATTTTTAAGAGATCAAGGGGCAAAATCAATTTGGACTAGGTTGGCTTTATGATCTTCTGATGGTGCAAACCTGGTCTAAAGCTGCCTTACCTGGTTAGGGCAGAATCACCCCAAAACAAAGGGATCTCTATGTATTTGAGCTGCTCAAAATACTCTTAAACTATCTTATTCCTCCTCCTTGTAACTGATGCATGTAAAGTGGCTGGGGTATCATTACAGCCTGGGGATCCCCAGGAATCAGAGGAGCAAATTGATAGCCTTCAGACTGCTATTCCTGGAGTCTGAAGACCAATCTGGCACAGAACACCCACAGTCACAGTACCTGGGCTTCATTAAGCATATTCAGGGCAGAACCACCAAAATCAGAGGCAAAAGGTTTAGAAGCACGGAGCATGCATGTAGTTTGTGAACAGCCATAGCTCAGTCCTTCAAGGCACTGAGTACTCTAAATTCCCATCCACTTCAAGTGAAGTTTAAAGCACTTGGTACCATACAGTATGGGGCCTGTTGTAACTGCCACCTGCATTTTAAATGGCTCCAAGAAGCTCATTCTCTAATAAGCTAGAAGATATAATTTTGTGCCTGTACTCGTTGCACTATTAGTTTTAGAAAGAGAAGCTCTCGGCAAGAAATTGCTGGGAAGGGTCTTTTGTTTTTAGTGTAAGTTCACAGCATGTTGAGGATTAGGCTACATTCTGCATTAAATTTTCAAAAACTGATGGGGTTGCAGGCAAGCTTTTTAATCAAGGAAAAATTTAATACCTGTAAAAAGAATAAGTCTAGTGGTTATGGCTACTCACTGCCAGCTAAATTCTTTCCCCATCAGTCCTGATCTCACTAATAGAGTGACACATACATACTGATTATGGGATATTATCCTGAGCAATTTGTTTTCTCACATTTCACAATAACTTTTTGAGCAGGAAGTAATCTGGAGGGAAGAAACAACCATCTCTCTCTGAACTACCCTCTATGCTTTACAATGGATAAACATGTAGACCTTATGCTATCTGGTACACAATAGCTAAAGTAAAAGGAAGATATATTGTAGGTAAAATAAGAATAAGATATTATAGACCTGACTGACCTGGCTGGACAAGGGTCCAAGTTACATTCCTGAAGTTTTGGCTTTGGCTTGATATTTTCAGGGTAGTAGTGACAGTACTGATCAGCTACTACCAGATTGCTCCTCAGATCAAAACACTCAGCAGATGTCAGTTGATAACCTGCAACATCCAAAGACACAAAGTGTGTGTGAGCTCTATGGACACAAAATACAAGCAAGTTCTCTTCTCTCTTATTTTGTGAAGCATTGTCAAAATGCCTGTGGCCTTCAACTTAACAACAGGCTATTTTATATTATTCCCAATTTACAAAAATGTATTTTACAAAGAGTACTCCTGACATTTTGTGTTTTATAATTTAAACGTATCACCATCATTTTTCTAAAAAAAAGGGCAAACTTGAAATGAAGGATTTTGGAATTACTGAAACAAAAAGCCCTGACTGATGTCAACTCTCTTTTGTCCCTATTGCTTATTATTTGTTTGCCTCTTCCAGCACTGCTTGCACTCTCCCTTCTCCCCTCCCTCCCTTCCCTGGTTTTTTTTTGCGGGGGGCTTCAAATTACTTTCTACTGGATAGACTGTTCTGTGCATGTCCTTTCATAGCATTTGATTGAGTTCAGGCTCATGAAAGCTTATGCATCTCTGATTTAGTTAGTTTATGTGATGCATCTCTACCCTGCCTTCTGCCTGACTTGAGACTAACACAACTACTTCTCTCTGCACTAGGGTAAAACCAATCCTATTTATGCTAGTGGAAAACCAGCATGAGATCAACATTAAGCTAAGAAGGCCCAGCTTTGAAAGGTTTATGCCTAACCTGTCTGTGCAAGTGGCCATGCAGATGGATTTAATTAATGGTTGTAAACTTAAGTGGTCACTTAGCTATACAGGTGTAAAATGTTATAGTTTAAATTAAAAAAGCCATCCTGTATCATCCTTAGGGCTTTATCCTGAGTTCTGTCCTCTCCTTTCTAGTAGTAATTCTGCTAGGGTAACATTATAGTCAATGTAACTTTTATGGTGATTTGTCCAACTTTTTAAAATAGTTCCAAAACAAAGGAAAGAGGAAAAACCTGCCAAAGAAATGTTGGTACACAATCAAACCATTACCACTGTGTAAATTCCAGCAAGAGCTAAAAAGGGCATCTTTAGAGCTGTTACAGATTGTCTAAATAATTGTTCAAATAGTTTTAAATTACTTTACTCACATGACAAGGTAAATTTGTAAAATATTTATATAGAGACGTAACTAGTGCAGGGTTTAATGAAGTCCACTGGAGGTGTTATTCACTAACAGTGACAGCCAAAACCCACTGACATCAATGACAGCCTTTCAGTTGATTTCACTGGGTGTTGGTTTGGGGTAAAATTCTCAAAAATACTTAAGTTTAGGAGCCAAAGTCTTCTTTTCAAAAGTGACTTATGCACTTTGCAACTGGGATTACTACTTGCCTAAAACTGTTTTTGAAAATAGGACGTACAAGCCAACATATGGACACGGAAAAACCCACATAAGACCAGGAATTACCTTGCAGCTTCCCTGAATGTTTAAGTGGGGGGTGGGGAGTAGAGAGGGGGAGAAGTGAGGATGACAGAGGCCCTCACCCCTACATTGTTACTGAGGAAGCAGAGAGTTATGTCCTGAAGTTCTCAAGACATACTCAGGAGGACATCTTGCCAGGATGGTACTCAAGGAAATATGGATTTTTCTCCCTGAATCCAGAGAGTTGGATAGCAGAGAAGTAGATATAACGTTGTAAAGCACAAATTCAAAGAGGCCAAAATAAAGATAAACCAGTTGTGAAGATTCCTTGGAAACAAAGGCTTATCTCAGCCCTGGCACAGTTCAGCTCAGGGGGAGACAAGTAAAGAAGGCCTTTGTACTCTTAAGTTTTTGTCTCAGATGGTCATAGGAGTAACAGCCCCAGAAGGGCTTGATACAGCAGGCAGAAAGCAGAATGACAAAGGAAGTCCATAGTTTTTCCCTATATTTTCCTAGTCCCCCAAGTCACCTGCAAGATAGAAGTGCTGTAGAAGAAATTGCCTCAGATCCAAACCACTGGAGAGTCTCTTTATGTTAAGATCATACATTCATAGATATTTTGGACAGTTTTAGGATGAAAATCTCTTGATGGTGTGTGTCACAACCCAATGATTTTGGTGCCTTGGCACGATGGAATTTTCCTGCCACATGAGAGCCTCTTGCACAGCAAAGGTTTTTCTGCTGCAACAGAGCTGCAAGAGAGTTCCTGCCATTTGAATGCAAATTTGTGTCCTGCTATTGGCCAGTTCTAAATTATTCCTACGTGGT